GGGAGGGAGGGAGGGAGGGAGAGGGCCCACCCCTGCTCCCCTTTTTCAAGAGCGGCAGGTGCACGCGTCTGAGCCTGTCATTAAAAGGAGCTGGAGACTCTGGTTGTAAGAACAGCACGTGAGTTGGGTCACAGCCTGGGCTTGGCTCCAGCAGCTCCGCCTGCCGGAAGTCACTGGCGCAGCGCCACAAACCTGGCCACTAAGCGAAATTCCGAAAGCCATGGGCTGGGGCGGCTCCGTGAAACTCGCGCCAGCTGCACGCCCAAGCAGCCCATCTTGTGCAGCAGACCTTCGCGGCCCAAAGGCTCAGGACCAAGGCACTGCCGAAGTCTGCCCAGTCTCCGGCTTGGCGAGCGCTCGCTGCAGCAAGTCCTCCAGCTCCTGGAGGCGCAGGGCGCGAGCGGTGCCGCCATGCCATGCTCCAGGCTCCCCCTCCTGCCGGAGCCGCTCGCGGATGCCCTGGAGCTGCTGCGCCTACGCTGTGCTCAGGCTCAGCCCAAGAGAAAAACCCTCAACAAAATCGAGGACCGAGTTCGCCACCAAGGCCGGCGACTCGAACCTGCAAACCAAGACCAAAGCAGCTTAAGTCCGGCAGCTTCCCCAGCTCGCAGAGGCCGGGGCCGGAAGGCTGGCTGTGCTGAAGGCGCAAGGCCAGCCCTTGGCAGCTCAGGCCAAGCCGCCGTGCCCAAGGCGAATCCGAAAAAAAATTCCCGCCAGCTCGGCATGGCTCCGAGGCTGCAGCACGCGCGTCACGTGCTGCGTCACCGCCCGCAGGGCCGCCTCTGAGCTTAGAAAGGAGAAGAACTCCGCCTCGGAGCCGGGGCACAAGCCGGCAAAGAAAGGCCGGCGGAGGCGACAAAAAAAGGCTCCGCCGCTGAAATGTGTGTGCGCTGGCGGCGCGGCATCGTAGGGCAAAGCCACGGCATCTGGGGCCTGGCGGAGGGAATCGGACCAGGCACGGTCGATGGCGAAGGGCATGGCGTGGCATGTGGCATGAAGACACCTCTTGAACAGTATCTGCTTGGTTGGCACCCGTCACGAACAAGACATCACCTTGCATGCAAACAGACTCACAAGTCCTCTGCAAGACAGGACATCCGAGGAAGCCGCTGTTGGGTGCGCATTTGGCATCTTCCCGCAGCCTCACCCGCAGGACCTGCGAAGACAGCAGTAAACCGTTGACATCACTCTTGCCTGGCGGACTGCGCATCCGGGAGCCGCGCCGGACGAGCTCTGCAAAGCTCCAAAGCCACCTTCAAGTGCACCATCAGTGCTTCCGGCTTTCGAGTCAGGCGCCGATGGGACCACACAAGCAGGTACAAGAAGCCTCGAAACTCTGACCCCGAGAGATCAAACCCTCAATCCTGAACCCTGTTAGAGGGCGGAAAACGACTCTCCTGCGTTTTGCTATTAGTACGAGTAGACATCGGATGTCTAACGGTCTACGAATGTTGTAACGAGCTTAGATTAGTGAGGAAAATGTAAGGAAAGAGCGCGCTTTTCACTCGTTAAAATTCGTTTTACCTTTCCACCTAGTTCTACACAGTCATTCTAGGCTGTGTTCTTGGGCATGCTTCTGGTTTAATTGGAAGAAAGAACTGACAGTTCATTAAACTCAGTGCTTTTGTTTGTTGTGTAACAAGCAAGGCACACAGAGACTAAAATCTAAAAATAAGATCTGCTGTGATTGAAATTGATAAAGTCATAAAGGAGGTGGAGAATTGTGGACCGACCATCCAATGTAAGCAGTATATGCTCAGTTTTGCACCACCTCCAAACTCTGAGACTACGGAAAGGATTAGGAAATCCATGAAAGTGAAAGAACTCATCTCGACACGCTCTAAGCCATACCACTTCTTGAAATCTTTGAAAGATGGGCACCAAATCGGTTCCAAATCCTCCAATCACGCTAGGCATGATTTTACACAGATCGCAGGATGGTGTTCAAAGTATTGCTTGATATTCTGAGAGTTCTGGTTCTTGGGAGATACAATCCTATCTCATGCTGAGTATAATTCATTCCTTTACAAGGACTGCTCCGGAGATTCCGAAGATTAGTCCTTAAAGCACAAATTAAATTCCTAAGTCTTTATGACTACTATAGTGACTACAACTTGTAACTTGAGCTAAATTGATATAATGAGTCACGCTTACGTTCCGGTCTCTTCATTGGCATTGGCTCCAATCGTTGTATTGTATTCAATTCGTCAATCTGCTTTGTGCCAAAGGGCCAAAAAAAAACATGCTTTCAGTGTTTTGGTTGCTTAAACAAAATACATTTGTACCTGTTGGGCTTCGGTCTTCATTGCGTGCATAACCAAAAAACACACACAACACACACACACACATACATACACGTACACAGACAAAAGAACCAAAACCAACAAGCAGCAAAATGCCAGAGGCTATCCAGAACAAAAAA